AATGTACTATGTATGTCAATGTAATCATGCGTTGAAAATGAAGAAACTACATCGTTCTAAACAAATAAATTTAAAGGGATTTCCGCCCCCAACCCCTAGGGGAAGGATTGAATACCGCCCCAGGACGCCAACTCCAAGAGGAAAAGTATTGAGTCGCTTGCTGCGCGACAGCGGCTAATTTATACTGATGATTACTGCATGACTGATTGGATAGCACTAGCTTTTTGCTGCTTAGAAGTGAGAAAAATGAATGTCTAAACAACTTAATCAAATAGAGCAGAAAACGGGCAGCTCCTTAGCTTCATCCTTATCCCTTGCTGAGCAATGCTAAGGAAGAGACAAGAACAAACTGCTAGTTGCCGTCGCCTATAGAAATTCCAATTTTTGGAAGTGGAGGGAAATCCCCTGAAGCGTGGACCATTCTCGCCTCCGTTTTTACACCACTCCAAAGCTTCCTTCCACTGCGAAAATCTGGACTACTTTAAAGGAAACTCCCATTCCCTAATGTTCTCTGCCGCGATAGGCCAGAGCACAGACTATTAGAGGACGGCGCCTGGCCTCGGCTCCAAACCCAAGCGGGAAGGTGAGAGCCTAGGACTAAGCCTTGGAGGGAGGAAGGGACTCCGGAGTGGGTGAGCCAATACATTGTGGCAAAGTTTGGAATGTGTCAGATCACAGTAATCATAAGCCGCTGTTTAAGCGAGAGAGCGCAGGCGAGAGCATCAAATCGAGGCGGTTTAAAGGACTGAGTTCAAGTTGTCCGTAGACCGTAAGGCAATATGCCTTGTTCAGGTTCCATAGTGGGTATACTCCTATTTACAGGACCGTAGGAAACTAACCTCATCATTCCGTGTGAAGGAAAATAATGTGCAGCACAGACTAGCTGTTCGACTGTACAAGGAGAACTCAGACAAAATTCATATGGTTGGAAACCTTGCGTGGAATGTAGACGCCACGACCTCTGATATGGTCTATCGGGTTGAATTCGATGGACACTGCGATTGTTCTGCCCAGGTCAACGATCAAAAAAATCACGTTGAAACAAAACTAAATGGTATATTATATTAAGGCCAACACCCACTGCTCAAGATGTCACGTCTGCCCCTATGCTGTGACGTGCTCTTGCAGAGCTGGAGCTCTTGCTGGAGTAGCATGCTCCCACAGCCATGCAGTGAAACTTTATGGTATAAATTTGCTAAAGTGTAAAAATAAAGTACACTTCTACTTTGAATCGCTGTATTTAGGAGGACAACCTACCATAGAACCACCTGTTCACCTTACTTTGCAAGCTGAACCACAAGAAATTGAAATCCAGCAGACTGTCAGTGAATTGAGACCTACCCGTGACATACGCGGGGAATACACATGCAATCCGTGATGAAGTTGCCAAGGTATAGTCAATTAGTATTAGTAACAATTAATGCAACAGCCTGCATTCTAGAGCTACGCCTTAATTTATGCGAAGGTGAACGCCCTCGTCAGACAAGGGGATGAAGGAGCTCTTGAGACTCTGTCAGCAGTCGCTGAACGTATGCGCATTGTGGCGAATGAAATTGACGTACCCATCAGAGCAACAGCCCTTCTTACTCGACCTGATGTGCCACTTACTGGAGGGAGAACTAAATTGCAAAAAACGGAATTGTACACGGTATGATAAGGAGACGCTTTCGAAATATCGTGGTTATTCTATATTACTTGTTTACAGAGATCAAGGATTCGGAAACAAATGAGAAGGTCTCAGTCTGTTGAAAACATACGAGTAGATCCTGATGAAATTGCATTCTGCTCGCTCTGCTTCGAAGAAGACCCAGTCCTCCCCGATGATATGGACCCAGAAGAACCGGACGCGAGAGAAACAGAATGGATGCGATGCACCAACTGTCGTGTGTGGGTACACGCGGTGTGGTGGAAGGGGTGTACGACATCGAAAGTGTAGAGCATGTAAGGTGGGGGAATACAGCATCTACGTGTATGCATAATGCTTAGAAATGATCGAAATATTCAATACTGTACGTACTGTAAATAAGCTTCAAGTCATGCAAGTATTATCCTATGTTTGTGTAATGCAATAAATGTTCGACAAGTCATAAAACCGCCTCACCTTTGATATGTGCAAAAGAAGCTGTATCAAACGCCAAACGTGCACAAGCCACGAGTAAGAGGCCTTAGATGGTTCACGGATCCAAAAATACCGTGACTACAACTAAGGTCGACCGACCCGTTCATGGCTCTGGCACCAACCATAAAGTGTAAGGGCAAGGAACAGGAGTAGGGTGCAGTTGGAGCGAAGGGAACAGGAACAGTGAGGATTCAAGATTCACTGACCAGAAGTAGAGGAATGCAAAGCGAGAGATAAGATGAACTGCTTTCAGCGGCCCCTTTTATATCGGCCGGGATGCTCCCTTGCCCGCCAAGTGAGGTCACAAATATTGACATTTTGATCAAACTAAGAATTGGGCATCACGGATATACTTTCAAGAACATGAAAAAAGGGCCAAGTCAAAAAAATGTTCGCAGAAGAAAAAGGGAAACGTATTGTGATGTTAAAAGGAAAGCAATCAAGACCACATAATTTCAAAAAAAAGTTGGCAGAATTTTGCTCAAGCCGGCACAAGATTGGAAAAGTTGGAATCATAAGCGTTCCACCTGATCTCAGTCATGTACTGGCCCTCACAAGAACAACAACAATAAAAAAAGGTAAGATAGCGTATGAATGTACGTTAGGAAGAACATACAAAGAGGTTTTACAGAATACAGAAGCATATTATTTCATATAAAAAAAACTCACGTTGGTTAGCAGCTGCCGAAGATCAGTGTCTCAGTGATTAGTAGTAGCCGCAGTAATAAAGAAGTGAATATGTAGGCAAAATAGAGGAATTCAGAGGTAGGGGCGAACTTGGGGAAAATCTTATTGAGGGGAGACGAAGATAATGGGGTTTAAACAGAGCAGATCTGAAGAATACAGTAGCAGTGAATACAGCAGCGTAGAACAGAACCCGAATACAGCAGAACAGCAGGAATCCAGAGTAGAATAGCATCGCTCACAGTTGAATAATCCTTTGTCAACGAAAAAAAGCCGTCATCGATCGACAATGGAGGGCTAGAGCCGTTGGTCCCGCGACGAACAATACAGTAACCTGAAATTCAAACCGTAATAGCGCGAAAAACTCGTCCGGAGAACTCGTCCTGAGTTTTTTCCGGTGTACTTTTAGCGGCGAGTCACGTCGCATTAAGATAGACAAAGATCAGATGAAGTTGTTGGTAGACTCGAAAAAGCAAAGCTGTCTCGATATTCAAACTCCCACATTTCATTGGAGTGCTGCTCAAATATAATCTGCCACCGGACGCGCAACTCAATCTGCATTTTTTTATAATCAACTCTTCCTCTCCATGAGCTAAAAGCAAACGTTGCGCGTCTTCGGACCAGCTTGAAAAAACCTCTCCTGTCCTTTAAAACAGCCTCTATTTGATGCTCTCCTGTCTGCGCTCTCTTGGCTTGACAAGACGGCTTATGAATCAACTCGAAATTCGAACAATTCAATCCAACCTGGCCACAGTGCTCACCCCTCTCGGATTCTCTCCGTCCCTGCCAAGGATGTAGTTCAAGAGCTCACCTCTACCTGGGATGTTGGAGCCGGCCTAAACGCCTCCTCGCTAATCGTCTGTGCTCTGGCGTTTCGCGTCCGAGAACATAGGGGGAGTCCAAGTAGTCACGTAACCAGTTTGCGCCGCACGCATTGCGCGCACGAGACACGCTCTGAGGCGATGTGGGTTGGTGCGGCGTGAACTCTCAAATTTGTCCCGTTACACTACGAATATTGACCTCTAAGCTAGAGGGTAGATTCTATCCGCTCCATCCACCGACGGCTTCTGAGCTCTTCTTCTTCGTCCACCATTGTCATTGACCTCTAACCATTTTTTCCCGGTCTTCAGGAATTCTTGGGAAAATCATAACTTTGACGCAAACTCCGCCCGCAATTGACCCACTACGTTCCACAAACCAATTGCAGTCGACGCGTCCCTTCATTTTGGAAACTCGATCCCACTTTTTTCCTGTCTCCAGGACCTTGTTGTTGGGACCGAGTTATAATGTTTTGCGGATACCCGCGCCTTTTTTGGTGCATTCCCCACCCACTAATAGCAGTTAGGTTGATTCTTCGTTGACCTCTATTTACTTTTTTCTCCGTCCCATGACCTTTTGCAAGCGAGTTATAAATTTATTAGCAAACCCCGCCCACTTTTGTGCCCACCGCGCCCACCTTTGCATCCAACCCCTCCTTCTTCTCTAACCTCTATCCACCTTCTTCCCGCTCTCCAAAACTTCTTGGAACCGAATTATGGGGACTTGTAGGAAAGGCTCTTGCATGCTGGGAACTCCCTAGACATTGCTGCGCTACACCGATTTTTTTTCTTGCTCCTATAGACTTTCACCTAACCGAGTTGTCAATTTTTATATTGATTACGTGACTACCTGAACTCTTCCCTGTGTTCTCTGGCCAGATCGCAGACGATTAGGGAACGGGGCCTGGCTCGGCTCCAAAACCCATGGAAGGGAAGGTGCACAACCCCTCGTCCAAGTGGGACCTATGCTTTACCTTTGCCACATGAATTACCAGTGCTGACAGCCAGCTTTTACGAAATAGCTACGCTCCTTCTCCAAATATTTTTCCAATTGAATTTTGCACCAATCAAGAATTCATTTCTGTGTAGCTTTGTACTGTTGTTAGTTTTTACGGTTAATCGAGAATACTTTAACACATTTGAGGAAATGGATCCCACACATTCCGAGTGCCCTGTCTGTCATAAAGGAATAGTCAAGCGCAACCTTGTTTCTCACATGAAAGATGTACACGATATTTCTCCGACGACAGCTAAAGGAATGTTAGCGCAGAGGAAAAAGACTGAATTGGAGTCCCAAGGGAAGCAGGTGGAAATCTGCGAAGTTTGCGGAAGTGTTTTCACTACCAAAAGAGGGTTGAGGGTACACGCCAGGTCCAAACACCCCGACCAAGCTGACGTTGAAGAGGCTGCGGAAGAGGAGGTCCACACCACGGCGGTTCAGTGCTGCCTTTGCGAACAAAATTTCAATACACAGGAGAAGCTCAGTGAACACTGTGGGCTAGAACATTCTGAAGAAGGAGCTCTTGGAAGAATGCAAGACTATACAGTACACAAACTTTCTTTCCCGAATCCGGAGGAATACAAGGTTAGTAATGGCACTTATAGCGAACTCTTGAGCAAAAAAATTCTTAAGGAATGGTTGGATAGAATGTGTGACCTTCACTGCACGTCATTCTACTGCAGGTCAACCAAGGAAGGCAGAAAGAAATTAATTATGCGGTCTGAATTATCTTAGTTGTGTGAATTACGTGGATATGACATGACTATATTAACAATTATGCAGATGTAATCGATGTGGTGAAGGCAGTTCTCAAGGTGAGCAAAGGATCCGTACGAGCAAAAGGGTGCATTTGTACTGCTCTGCCTTTGCAAATGTACACTTCACTGATGACGGCACCGTACGTGTAGTAGGATGCTTCGGTCACATTGGGCATGACCTCGATCCGGCCTTATTGCGTTGGACGGAGGAACAGCTAGAGTATCTAAAACTCATGCTTCAAGGTATCTTTGACAATTGGGGAGAAAGCACTGATTGACATTGCACCCTACTTTTTTGAATTGAAAATCATTTTCTTGAGTCTTGTCCTGGCTACGAGGTCAAAGTAAATCTGACGACAACCTTGTTTTGCCGCTGGCGCCATGCATCTTTTAGTCGAGTGAGTGTGGTACTTCCACACAGAAGTCAAGCTACCAAATTTTTAGCCAAATCAAGATTTTCATTCTAAGTTCGCAATTCTGGTCAATATGGGGTAGTGCTGCGAAATGCCCCAAAAACACTATTTTAGAATTCTCCTCCGACTACATTATACGAAAAATGAGGACAGATCACGATTCAAAAGAGTCGAAGTTGTACTTCGTGACAAAAAAAGATCTGTGGAATATCATGACGAAACATAATCTTGCTCCTGGAATCCGCGATAAAAACGATCTCACATCGTTGAGTAAGAGGGAGGATGAACGAAACCCTAACGACGGTATCCGCTACTTTAAGATGCCAGACGAACCTACTGGAAAAGGATTCATTCTTGGTTAGCTCTTTTCTTGACACAAGCGCAGAAGGCTTTCTAAAAAACTTCTTATAGTCATTATTACACCGCTCCAACAAAAATGGCTCGAACAATATGGACATAGAGGCATATCGGTTGACGACACCCACAACGTCACTAGATATGCCTTGAAACTGGCGACTGTGATGGTTGTCGATGAACACGATCGAGGTCTTCCAGCAGGTACATGGAGTGGGTTTCGGCAACTCCGCAGAAAGGATTATTTCTCATTTAGCATTCTTGTTGTCGGGGGAGATGACATCACGGGAAGTGAAGGTTCTGTTCGATGAGGTTAAAAGGATAGTGCCTGACTTTGCACCGAAGTCGCTGGTGACAGATGAGGCTTTGGCCTTCTACAATGGTTTCAAATTGTCTTTCCCAAATGCTGAAGTGGACCATTTCTTGTGTAGATTCCACATACTCCAATCGTGGAAGCGTAAGACCAAGGAGTGTGTCAAGGTAAACTTCCGCGTTCAAAAAAAAAACCGGCGCTGCGCTCATTGTGCAATTTCAGCAAGAGCTGCAGAAGGGAATAGTAGCGGCCTTCAGAAGTCTCCTTCGAATTGGCAACGAAGCAACATTTCACTCCAGACTGACCGAAATACTGACTCACTTGCGTGACAAAGGCTGCACGCGTCTGATTCAATATCTACAACGCGAATATCTTGGTAGGAGCGACTTGTCTCACTTATATCCCAACTTAATTTCACTTTAAGGACAAGAAAAAATCAAACAGTGGGCCGCATTCGAAAGAAGGGGGGTAGTGATGAGCACGTCGATGTTTGGGGAGAGATGGCATCTCCGGATCAAACAGGAAAAACTCAAGAGGAAGGCCAACGCTAGGGTCGACTACGTTGTCGACATGCTCATTAAAGCAGTAGAAGAGTTGGCGGTCGACTTCGAGATCACGGTAAGCAATTATGCCTTGTTCAGGTTCCATAGTGGGTATACTCCTATTTACAGGACCGTAGGAAACTAACCTCATCATTCCGTGTGAAGGAAAATAATGTGCAGCACAGACTAGCTGTTCGACTGTACAAGGAGAACTCAGACAAAATTCATATGGTTGGAAACCTTGCGTGGAATGTAGACGCCACGACCTCTGATATGGTCTATCGGGTTGAATTCGATGGACACTGCGATTGTTCTGCCCAGGTCAACGATCAAAAAAATCACGTTGAAACAAAACTAAATGGTATATTATATTAAGGCCAACACCCACTGCTCAAGATGTCACGTCTGCCCCTATGCTGTGACGTGCTCTTGCAGAGCTGGAGCTCTTGCTGGAGTAGCATGCTCCCACAGCCATGCAGTGAAACTTTATGGTATAAATTTGCTAAAGTGTAAAAATAAAGTACACTTCTACTTTGAATCGCTGTATTTAGGAGGACAACCTACCATAGAACCACCTGTTCACCTTACTTTGCAAGCTGAACCACAAGAAATTGAAATCCAGCAGACTGTCAGTGAATTGAGACCTACCCGTGACATACGCGGGGAACTACATGCAATCCGTGATGAAGTTGCCAAGGTATAGTCAATTAGTATTAGTAACAATTAATGCAACAGCCTGCATTCTAGAGCTACGCCTTAATTTATGCGAAGGTGAACGCCCTCGTCAGACAAGGGGATGAAGGAGCTCTTGAGACTCTGTCAGCAGTCGCTGAACGTATGCGCATTGTGGCGAATGAAATTGACGTACCCATCAGAGCAACAGCCCTTCTTACTCGACCTGATGTGCCACTTACTGGAGGGAGAACTAAATTGCAAAAAACGGAATTGTACACGGTATGATAAGGAGACGCTTTCGAAATATCGTGGTTATTCTATATTACTTGTTTACAGAGATCAAGGATTCGGAAACAAATGAGAAGGTCTCAGTCTGTTGAAAACATACGAGTAGATCCTGATGAAATTGCATTCTGCTCGCTCTGCTTCGAAGAAGACCCAGTCCTCCCCGATGATATGGACCCAGAAGAACCGGACGCGAGAGAAACAGAATGGATGCGATGCACCAACTGTCGTGTGTGGGTACACGCGGTGTGTGGAAGGGGTGTACGACATCGAAAGTGTAGAGCATGTAAGGTGGGGGAATACAGCATCTACGTGTATGCATAATGCTTAGAAATGATCGAAATATTCAATACTGTACGTACTGTAAATAAGCTTCAAGTCATGCAAGTATTATCCTATGTTTTGTAATGCAATAAATGTTCGACAAGTCATAAAACCGCCTCACCTTTGATATGTGCAAAAGAAGCTGTATCAAACGCCAAACGTGCACAAGCCACGAGTAAGAGGCCTTAGATGGTTCACGGATCCAAAAATACCGTGACTACAACTAAGGTCGACCGACCCGTTCATGGCTCTGGCACCAACCATAAAGTGTAAGGGCAAGGAACAGGAGTAGGGTGCAGTTGGAGCGAAGGGAACAGGAACAGTGAGGATTCAAGATTCACTGACCAGAAGTAGAGGAATGCAAAGCGAGAGATAAGATGAACTGCTTTCAGCGGCCCCTTTTATATCGGCCGGGATGCTCCCTTGCCCGCCAAGTGAGGTCACAAATATTGACATTTTGATCAAACTAAGAATTGGGCATCACGGATATACTTTCAAGAACATGAAAAAAGGGCCAAGTCAAAAAAATGTTCGCAGAAGAAAAAGGGAAACGTATTGTGATGTTAAAAGGAAAGCAATCAAGACCACATAATTTCAAAAAAAAGTTGGCAGAATTTTGCTCAAGCCGGCACAAGATTGGAAAAGTTGGAATCATAAGCGTTCCACCTGATCTCAGTCATGTACTGGCCCTCACAAGAACAACAACAATAAAAAAAGGTAAGATAGCGTATGAATGTACGTTAGGAAGAACATACAAAGAGGTTTTACAGAATACAGAAGCATATTATTTCATAAAAAAAACTCACGTTGGTTAGCAGCTGCCGAAGATCAGTGTCCCAGTGATTAGTAGTAGCCGCAGTAATAAAGAAGTGAATATGTAGGCAAAACAGAGGAATTCAGAGGTAGGGGCGAACTTGGGGAAAATCTTATTGAGGGAGACGAAGATAATGGGGTTTAAGCAGAGCAGATCTGAAGAATACAGTAGCAGTGAATACAGCAGCGTAGAACAGAACCCGAATACAGCAGAACAGCAGGAATCCAGAGTAGAATAGCATCGCTCACAGTTGAATAATCCTTTGTCAACGAAAAAAAGCCGTCATCGATCGACAATGGAGGGCTAGAGCCGTTGGTCCCGCGACGAACAATACAGTAACCTGAAATTCAAACCGTAATAGCGCGAAAAACTCGTCCGGAGAACTCGTCCTGAGTTTTTTCCGGTGTACTTTTAGCGGCGAGTCTTTTCTCCGTGCTCATCAGTAAGGAAGATAGGAAAAAGAATGCGATCAATATTATAATTGAATACAAAAGAATATGTGGTGTATGTGAATGTCAAAATTGCAAGAAAAATCCAAAAGATTGTGTTAAGTAAGAGTGAAATACTTCAAAAAATGTATTTTAAACAACTGCTGTAAAATTTGTTGCCATTTGTGCAAATTACGTATTTTATAGTTTATCCCACGTAGATTATCCTAAGTTTCATGTTTTCGTCTTGCTTAAGTTGTTGTTGTCATCTTTGTTTTATGATAGTACCAAACTTTTCAATTTCAATTAATTTCTTACAGGAAATGAGTGCCTCAGTGGAAACCGAGTCGACCGCGCCAGTGAGAGAGGAGAGATGAACGCAATAGGTTGAAGGTACGAAGCATTGCCATTATTATTATTATTATTATTATTATTATTATTATTATTATTATTATTATTATTATTATTATTATTATTATTATTATTATTATTATTATTATTATTATTATTAAAGAATGGGACTTTGTTTTGTACGCTTGTTAAGTAGGACGCGGGTGTGTTCGCGAAACTCGCTAATGAGAATAGTAGCTGAGGTACGCGTGCACGCCCACTTACCAAGTGAGAGCTATTTAGTGTGCTAAAGGAAGAAGATATAGAGTGAATTTGTTCGTGCAACGAGCCGCTAAAGTATAATGAAGGCTACGTTGCCCGATCACATCCACGGATGAATGTAAGCTTGTAATTGTTTACTCTTCCAACATAATTTTCTTAGTGTGTTTTCTGTCAAACTATATTTATACTTGATAAACTTATGTTTCAAAATGCATTTTATAAGACATGTAAGTAGTGTATCCAATGTATATCCTGATTCTTTAATTTGCTTGCTAGTGTATTTAAGTCTGTCTATAAAGTCTTTCTTATCTGTACAGGTTCGAGCTATTCTAAGAATTTCTGTATATATAGTATTAGGTTTAATATTGTATGAAATATTGCTACTACAATTAGGAAACCTTTTAATCGAAAAATCAAAACTGTCTGTCTTATTATACTTTTTAGTATAGATTTTGTTAGCCTCTATTCTTATTTCCAAATCTAGATAGTTACTTTGTACTCATTGATATGGGTAATATCTAGTGCTAAGATGTTATTATACACCTCAAGAAGGGTGTGCTTAATAGTCTCGGTATCCTTGTTATGAATTACAAGTATATCATCCATATATCTAAATGGTCTTAATTGAAATTGGGGAGTGTTATAGTGGGTCCTTGAGTAGTTGTATTCAAAGTAGGATAATGTTAGAGTCTGCTAATAAAGGGCTAACATTACTACCTTGTGGTACTCCCTGTTTTTTGTACAAAAAGGTGTTCTGCAAATTTACAATAACTATTTTTAAGAAGGTAATCTAATAGATAAACGATATCCATGATAGTGTAGTATCTATAATTTTTATAAGTAGTACTATCAGTATAAAACGTCCTGTAGGCGTTAGTAGCTATGTATTTTTTACTACTATTTTTATAGCATATTTTTAATATTTCTGTAATATTAGCCATTATGAAGGAATGTGGTAAATTGGTGAACATATTAGTAAAGTCAGCTGAAAAAAGTTTCATGTTATCCATTTGTACATTTTGAGTTGTTCACTAATATTGATATTATTAATTGCCCAATATCCTATATAGTGATTGTTTCTACTCATTATTGTATTATTATAGTTAAGAAAGTGACTCCTAACAAACCTTAGTATTTGTGTAAGTTCTAGTGATAAGAGGTTTAAGGCTACTATTTCTTGGCTCCCGTTAATAAATCGGAATTTAACCGGGGATTTATGAAGCTTAGGTATAGCATAAATTAAAGGTACAGTCATATTGTCGAATTTTTGGATTTTATTGTTATCATAAAGTTTTTTATGCTTGTTGATTATTGTATCATCATTGACATTATCTACGAATGTGTAAGTTTCATTGTTATTAGTTACTTGTACTGTTAGATTACTGCTGTATCTTATACCCATCTCTTCCATCAATTTCATTATGTAGAAGTTTTTTACATACTATACCATAATTGTTGCTAGCCTTATCTAAAGGGCAGAATACAAACTTGTCCTGTAACGTTCTTATTTTCTTTATCAAATTACTATTGATATTGTAATCATTTTTCAGCCAACCTGCAAAACACTTAGGTTTTAAAGCCGTTTTGATTGCGTTACTGATTTGCTCTTGTATTATTATGATTATATTAGTGTCTAATTTATATTTACGTTTAATAATGTCTATATAATTATTGACTGTTATATCTATCCAACTCAATATTGTCTTTTTACTTGTATTGTTAGGTATTCTAAATTTACAACCTTTGTTCAATAAACTCCTAATTTCAGATTCTTGAATAATGTTAGTGTTTCCTGTTACTATGTGTTTGTGATTCAAATCAACATAGTTTCTGTATTTTTCATCTTCACATATACATTTTGACTTAACAATATTAAGTACCTTCATTCATTAGGCAGTTCCCTTGTAATATTTATTGTAATAATATTTGTGAACAAGGTTTATTGTATTTATATACGACTCGAAAGGGAGTTATTTTAACATTAGAATTAGTGTTATTTTCGTATAAGTTCTAATATATTTCTAGAGTTGAGTATTTTGTTTATATTGATATAGTCCAAAATATTATGGACATAAGTAGTAGTTAAATTGCAAAAGTTTTCTTTCCGTGTTTGCGTGATACTTTTGTATGACTGGAAGTGGAATTTGCACAATAAACAAAGAAGCAAAAACTTTTTATCTTTGGGAATTTGTGCTAAAAATGAATTGGAGTAGCACATTGTAAATTATATTGTGCATAACACTTTTCTTTAGGCTATGTAGCTCCTTTTCTGATTGCTTTAAGATCGGAACTATTTTGAAGTAAAACGCATAAAGTCTTCTAATATATTTTGAGTATTTTTCTTATTGTTTGTTCGTTGTTTGTTTCTTTTCCCGTTCCTTTTTCTATTTTTAAGTATTTTAAGATTAAAATAAGGATGTTCTGCTTTATATGTAAGTGGATTCAAAACATTGGAGATGTTTCCATAACCTTTAATATTGTCGTTATTTCCAAATGGATATGCTGTAACTAATAGTTTGATCCAAAAAGCTTCTTTATTTTGTAAAACTATTATGTCACTATTATCCTTCAAGTTATCAAGGATAGAAATAGTTATAATTTTCTTCCATTTTTCATTGAAATGTCTATAGAGATATATGTTGGAATCGTTCTTATTTTATGTGGATCTATGTGTTCTCTAATTCTATCTTTAAGTTTTCTAGTAGTTAGTCCTACATATTGGAATCCACATTCCAAACAAGTAATGCAATAGATAACATTTTTACTGCAGCAATTTGCCTCAATATCTATGTATGTATTAATTTTGAGATTAGATGTATTAGAGATTATGTATTCTTTCTTATCTATAAGCGCACATTTAACACAATTTGTATTACAGTTACTGGGCATAAAGGTGTTACCGAAGTTATTTAAGCTATAAATATTATTTACCTTGCTTTTATAGAATAATCGTCTGGAATAATAATCACTATTAAACTGAATGGTAGTAGGCCGTAGAGGAAGTATGTGAGGGGCCTAACCCACATACTATGGGGAGTTTTAGGGGACTGCCCAAGGTACTTGCAAACCTAAAATGAACAATTATTTTGTTAACATTATTGTAATTGAATTTGTTGGCCCCTTTGAGGGCACTTACCCCAATGCTA